TAGAATTTCTTTCAATAACTTTATTTCTGAAAACAAATCAAGACTATCAATATCAGAATGGTCCTCAAAACTCAAAATCTTTTTAAGATTGATACAATATTTTTTCAATTTATCTTCCCCTAAATTTTTTAATTTATTTCAATCAAATAAAAAACCAAACATATTTTCATATTCTAAAAATTGTTCAAACAAACTCTCACTAGAAGAAATAGATTGATCTAATATATATAAAAAGAGTTAATCATCCCTACACTGCTAGTGTAAAGTTTTTTACACTGCCAACCAATCATATATTTTAAAGTTGCTTATTTTATTATTATTTCATTAAATAAGCAATTGACATGTCACTATTAAAATATATGATTGGTTGTCAGTGTAAAAAAACTTTACACTAACAGTGTATAGATGATTAACTCATAAAAAATAATCAATACGAAAAGAATCTTCAACAGAATGAGTTATCTCATCACTATCAATGTCATCAAAATGTTTTTTCCTATGAATCTTACGTTTTTCATTGAACTTAGACTCTATATCTATTTCAATAGTCATTTCTTTGGTGGATTCTAATGCAGATGCAAAACCATTTTTTCTATAATTTTTTAAATAAGTTATAAGGTCTTTTAAGTGATTTATAACAATATTTATATGCATATCTTTAGAAAAAATCTTATCACGATGACAAACTTCAATTTCAATAAAGGAGAATATGTTATACTGATCCCCGAGATACCCATGACAAATTCACAATGTGATATCATGTAAAAAATACACTACAATGGATTGTGAATGGTAGTATATAAATTTGATTTGACCAGAACGTCACTACAATTAAACTAATAAATTTTGAACAAGTATTCTCATTGGTTTAATTACTAATCCAGTTGTAAAAGAATGGGAGAGAAAAATAAACAAGAAATCATATTATAATGAAATTATAGAAAGGATATTCCCCAACCACGTGCATACATTTAGATAACATATGATATGATACAAAAATTAAAAATGAAAGTAGGTCCCAAAGAAGATAACATTTCGTTCCCTTCATTTTTCCTTTTTGTTTCTACTTGGAAAATTAATTATAAAAAAAAGGGCCTCTGTTAAGTTAGATTCACGCACCACTTCATTTTGAAATTTTAGTCTTTCATCATTTTTTAAACGAAACATCAGAATCATTTCCCACCTCATAACTCTGTTGCAAACTTTCCACAACCCTTTTATTACTTTTCCATTTTATTCAAAATTTCTAACATAGTGAGATCAACAATTCAAACTTTCATGTCAACAATTCATTCATTCACATATCAAATTCTCTTTCCATATGAAAGAGAAACCTCGTACGGCAGACATTACAGTAATTGTATGTTGGAGTGAGTGACCCTCACGATCTCTCAGTTTTTTTACATTTTTATTTTTTTATTTTTAAGAAATTACTTATAAAAGGAACATTTAAAGTGAGATTCATTTATCGAAGAAAATATTACAACCACAACAACAAATATTGAATCTCTTATTAACAGAATATGTGAAAGAAGGAGAATAAAATGACTGCAAGAGAATACTCAATATCCCATCTGTGTTTTATTGATTGTAAAAACGCAACATATATACAAGAAGGGAGAAAGGAAAATAACAGAAAAGATACGCAAGCAACAGGAAAGAGAAACAGAAAGATACGTGGCCCAAAAAATAGATGATGAGCAGCCCATAAAAGCCCTTAAAAGAAAAGGAAAAAGAGAGCTAAGAGCCCCCCTCAAGCTGGGAATGTATGTTAAGCATGCCCAGCTTGGAACAGTGACTGCGAAACACAAAAGGTGAAAGAGGCTTCGTAAGGATGTCAGCGAGTTGTTGAGAAGAAGACACCGGAAGAAGCTTAAGCAGACCAGTAGAAACTTTATCACGCACAATATGACAGTCAATCTCAATGTGCTTCGTTCGTTCGTGGAAAACTGGATTGGAAGCAATTTGCAAGGCAGATTGATTATCACAATACAAGATACTTGGGCTAATAGGATCAATATGAAAATCCTTCAAAAGATAGGATAGCCATTGAAGTTCACAAGTGGTCGTGGCCAAAGCACGATACTCAGCCTCAGAAGAGCTACGAGAGACAGTGATTTGTTTCTTCGATTTCCAAGAAATGAGAGAATCTCCAAGGTAGACAGCAAAACCAGTTATGGAACGACGAGTATCGGGGCAACCGGCCCAATCAGAATCACTAAAAGCTCTCAACTGAACCGAGCTATTGACAGAAAGAAAAATCCCAGAGCCAGGAGTGCCTTTTAGGTAGCGGAGAATACGAAATAGAGCTTGGCGATGAGCTGTGGTTGGATTGGAAACAAACTGACTGAGTTGCTGGACAGCATATGTGATGTCGGGTCTAGTGTTGGTGAGATATATTAAGCGGCCCACAAGACGACGATAAGCAGCGGTATCAGTGAGGGGGGTGCCAGATGATGCAGAGAGATGCATGGAGTAATCCATCGGTGTTGAAACAGGCTTTGAAGCAAGCATACCAGTATCTGAAAGAAGATCAAGGATGTACTTTCTCTGACATAGATGAATCCCTGTGTGATTACGAGCGACCTCCAGACCAAGAAAATACTTTAAATTACCAAGGTCCTTGATTTGAAAAGTAGTATGGAGAAGAGAAGTAAGATGATGAATTTCAGTTAAGTCATTGCCGGCTAGAACTATATCATCAACATAAATCAGAATTGCAGTAGTAGTGGCAGGAGAACACTTAAGAAACAGTGAGTGATCAGAAGGGGATGGAACATATCCATGTTGAATGAGAAATGACGAGAGACGAGCATACCATTGTCGGCTTGCTTGTTTAAGGCCATAAAGAGAGCGTTGAAGACGACAAACTTGACCAGGAAAAGAAGGTGTAAGCCCCGGAGGTAATTGCATGTAAACTTCCTCATTTAGATCACCATGTAAAAAAGCATTGTTAACATCAAGCTGCTTCAAATGCCAATTATTAATAGCTGCCAAAGAAAGGAGAAGTCGAACAGTGGTTAATTTAGCAACAGGGGAAAAAGTGTCAAAGAAATCGAGACCTTCCATTTGGGTATACCCCTTTGCAACAAGGCGTGCCTTGTATCGATCTATGGAACCATCAGCCTTGTGTTTAACTTTATAGACCCAACGACATCCAATTGCTGTCTTGTGAGGAGGCAAAGTAGTAAGAACCCAAGTATTATTCGCTTCTAATGCAAAAATCTCCTCATGCATAGCTTTAAGCCAAGAATCACTTTTGGAAGCTTCAGCAAAATTCTTTGGTTCGGTAACAGAGGAAATGGAAAAAACATAATGATGAAAGGAAGGAGAAAGAAGATCATAAGAAAGAAAAGAGTGAAGAGGATGACGAATACCTGTAGAAGAATGAGCAGTACTAGTTGATGTAAATGCACCATGAAAATCCTGAAGATATGTAGGCGGTCGGCGTGGACGGGTAGAGCGTCGAAGAGGTGGAGGAGAAGAGTGTTGGTCAGAAGTGGGTGGGTCAGAGGACTCAACAATAGAGGAAGAAGGGAAGGTGGGATAATCAACATAATTGTAATGAATGGGTACAGGAGAAGAAAAAGAAGGAGAATGGGGCTTAGTGAAAGAAGGAAAATGATCTTCATGAAAAAGAACATTCCGTGAAACTAAAAGACCGTGAGTGTGAAGGTTGAAAAGAAGATAACCTTTAGTGTGAGGTTTAAAGCCAAGAAAAATGCAGGGATGAGCACGGGGATCTAGTTTGGTTCGATGAGAGGTAATGGTACTGCTATAGCATAAACATCCAAACACACAGAGTATGGAAATATCGCATGGGTGCCCATAAAGTTTTTCAAAAGGGGATATATTATGCAAAAAAGGGGTGGGAATGCAGTTTATAAGAAAAGTAGCATGCATAAGAGCAAAACACCAAAAAATAGAAGGTAAATTGGCTTGAAAAAGAAGAGAGCGAGTCACGTTTAAAAGATGTTGGTGTTTTCTCTCAACGATGCCATTTTGTTGAGGGGTTTCAACACAAGTTGTTTGATGAATGATTCCTTTAGATGAAAAATATTGGGTCATGGAGAATTCTAAACCATTATCAGTGCGTATCACTTTAACATGCTTATCAAATTGTGTTTCAACTTGATTAATGAAGTTTATGATGTGTTGTCGAGTTTCTGATTTATTTTGCATAAGAAACAGCCAAGTAAAACGAGTGTGATCGTCGACAATGGTCAAGAAATATTTATGTCCATGCATAGAAGTAACAGAACAAGGTCCCCATATATCCATGTGTAAGAGATCAAAAGGTTGCGATGCATATGAATGACTCAAAGGAAATGGGAGTTTCTTTTGTTTAGCATGATGACAAGTGTTACAGGAAAAAGACGTATCAACAGACAGAAAAGGGAAAGATTGTAAACGTTCATGGGATAAATGGCCCATGCGAAAATGCCATAAGTCAATGGGTTGGATGCTACACTTAGGGTGAACAATAACAGAATTGGTGGAAGGATGATGAATATTGCTGGCAGTGAAACTGTAGAGTCCTTCATTTACATCAACTGTACCAATCTTCTTCATGGTATTCGTTTCCTGGATGATGCAAGAATGGTGATCAAAAATGAGTTGACAAGATAGAGAGGAAACTAATTTAGAGATAGAAATCAGGTTATAAGTAAAAGCTGGAATATATAAAACGTCAACAAGATAGAAAGAGTTAGTAAACTTAACAGTACCGGAATGAGTGGCTAATACATGTTGCCCAGTAGGAAGCTTAACATCAATAGGGTTAATTGGAGAAAAAGAAGAAAAATGTGAAAGAGAAGAAGAAACGTGGTCTGTGGCACCAGAATCCAAAATCCAAGATGAAGGAGTAGAGATGGCAGAACAAACAATAGGAAAAGAAGTACCTGAGGAAGAGGAAGGTTTTGTGTAAGAAGAAGAGATAGACACGATTTGGTTGACACAAGAAGAAACAGGTGCTGAAGTTCCAATAGTGGATTGTTGAATTAAGCAAGCAGAGCCTGATACTGCTGAGGGGTGAAACGAACATCTTGGGATTCAAGGGATTGAGTACTCTCAGTGACTTTGCAATCACCAGTCACTGTGTGATTGACACTTGCAGTTTTATCTGATAAAGGCTTAGATCCAGGGGGGAAACCATGCTTCTGATAGCAAACCTCAATGGTATGACCAGTTTTTCCACAATGAGTGCAAATACGTCGGGGTCGATTAGAGGAGCCTTTATTGCTTCGATTAGTGGTAGAGGGAAAACCATGTTTACGAAAACACACGGCATCAGTGTGTCCAGTTCGGTTGCAATGAGTGCAGGTGGGTGAGGCAACAGCATTAATCGAGGAGGTTCGATCAAGATGCACATTAGCAATGAAATTCTGACCCAGAAGTTGGCGTTCCTGCTGTACCACATAAGAGAATATCTTAGAGATGGGAGGTTCCATGAGAAGAACATGAGATTTCACATTATTATATTGATCATTCAATCCACGAAGAAACTGCATAGCTTGATCTTCGAGTTTGCGTTGAGCAATAATAGTGAGAACTGAACACGCACATTTGATAGTGCAGGTACAATTAGGATCAGGTCTGAAATTTTCTAATTCATCCCATAGGATGCGAAGCTTTGTGAAATATTCCGTCACGGACAAATCACCCTGTTTGAGAGAAGAAGCTTCAAGTTGCAAATCAGAGACGCGTAGAAGATCACCTTGCGAATAACGCGTTTTGAGATCTTTCCAGATGTCATCAGCTTGATCCATCCAGAGAATGCTTTGACGAATTGAAGGAGAAACAGAATGCACCAGCCACGACACAACCATGTTGTTGCATCGACGCCACGCCGAATAAAGGGGATCTGTCTTGAGAGGAGGTGGAGCACCACCATCAATAAACTCAACTTTGTTCTTCGCACTAAGCGCTGTAATGAATGATCTACTCCATGAGTGATAGTTTGTTGAATCGAGAACAGGGGATACAAGAGATGTAGCCGGATTTTCACCAGGATGTAGGTAAAGATAGCTATGCACACCAGGTATTTGTTCAGATTCCATGGTGATCAGAGAAAAACAAGATCAGAGGGCGCAGCAGAGCTCTTCAATGGAAGAGCTCTGATACCATAACAGAATATGTGAAAGAAGGAGAATAAAATGACTGCAAGAGAATACTCAATATCCCATCTGTGTTTTATTGATTGTAAAAACGCAACATATATACAAGAAGGGAGAAAGGAAAATAACAGAAAAGATACGCAAGCAACAGGAAAGAGAAACAGAAAGATACGTGGCCCAAAAAATAGATGATGAGCAGCCCATAAAAGCCCTTAAAAGAAAAGGAAAAAGAGAGCTAAGACTTATTACTAGACTGGTCCTGAATAGATCTTAAAAAATGTGAGATCTAAAAACTTACCTTGGTAGTTGGTACAATAATAAGTTAAGTATTTGATGGTTCAGATTTTGGTAAGGTCACTTGATTCAGATCAATTCTAGATAGGTTGATATCTTTTTCATTCTGGTTACTGATGTAGGAACAAATAAAGAAAATTGTAGATCCGAATAAATGTATGTAATTAATCCCTGTTACTATAGGTGTAATATAAGTTACAAAAGATGAAGAATGAAAGTTAATTGGAACTCATTAAAATTCAGAGCAAAACTCAGGATATGGTTTAAGAAAAAATGAAATTGAATTAGTAGTTTAATTACATTTTTATTTATAAGAGTAAAACTATAAATCGACTAGAAATATATTTTAAAGTAACTAGTTTTGACCAAAAAAAATATATAAATAAGAATATAATACTTAACAGAAAAATTAATATTTAATTATTGAAATTAAATAATACATAGTATTTTATATAAAATAAAGTTTAGATGAGTTAGTAGGAAAGATTCACATGGATCAAAGTTCAAATAGTTTATAAACAATTGACCAACCTTCATTAGTAATAATAAATAGCATGTTAATTTAATATCAAATTATTAAAGTTGAATAATAACTATAATGTGAGAAATTTAATTTTACATTAAATATAATTAGGTCCAAATTTAGTTACACCTTATTAATGACTAATTTAAAATTAAAATTTGGATTATAAAATTATGTTTGGTAAAATCTCCTTTACATCTATTTTAATACCTTTAAATTTAAAAAAAAATCATAAACATAACTCATATCAAAACTAATAATTAGAAAATAATTTGTACTCGTAGGACATAAATTTTATTGAAAAAAAATTATTTTAACATTGACATGTATCAATCTTAAGAGAACCAGGTCAACTTTCATATATCAAGATAAATGTGACACTCTCTAACTCCAGATACTAATGTAAGCATATAAATTAATAATCATATAAAAGAAGTTCAATAATATATTTATTGAATAATACAAATCCTTTAGGTAAGAGTATCACATACACATGAAACTAAAATAATATAAAAAAATCAAATCTAGCAAAATAATTACAAAGAGAAATCTAACATCTAGTCCTAACATAAAAATCAGCCTACAAAAACATAATCCTAGCTATCATCTCAATATCATATTTTATTAGAGCAAAACCCGACATAAGGCCTAAGCCTCGTCTCCAACCTCATCATCTTCGTGATGAACCTCACTAGAATTTATACACAAAAACACTAACAAAGAGAAAGGGGAGCGAGAAATATCTCACTGTAGTTATCGGTATAAGGTATGATCAGGACATCACACATAGTAAGACATTACATACACACGTTATATATATAAATCAATAAGTATGCAATTGTACAGTGAAGTATTCCTCGGTATGTTGTATACAATATTTATAATTCACATCCATTAGGACCACAATAATGCAATGGACACAGACTCACTAGACTATATGCACATGGCGCTAGTAAAACATTTCAACACTTGTCCTAAGGCACACAATTAGGAGAACATGTCGAGTTAGACCATCACAAAACTCTATATTACAAGGATATACATTAGGGCGTGTCAGGATAGTGGTGTCACACAAGTTACATCTCATGCACACAATGAGCGAAATTGGGGCTCCCAATCATGATTATCTCCAAGGTCATGAATCCCTAAGCTTTTACACAAGGGGACTTTTCCTAGCAAAGTATTCCATATTATACACATCAAAAAACACAAGTTGTGCACATGATGCATGTCACATAAGACTCAACATATGTATCACATACTTAATTTAAATATCACAACAATCACATCTCGATTAGACAATCTTGCCCAAACTTTATTGGGATTAAGCCTTGGTTTAGACTTTACATCTCATGACCATCACATGATCCATACACAACACATCATGTGTTTCATAATGTCATCCAAAGATCACTTTCACAAATACAGGCATACAAGCAATAGTAGTAATTCAATACATCATTCTTATTTAACCAACATATGCATTTAATATCATGATTCACACCAAAATATCATATCATACTTATAAAGTAATAACTACATAAGAATAAGGTGATGCTCAGCGTGGGGTACCCAATGCTCCGCATAGTCCAAACAAAGAGAAAATGTTGCTTTTTAGAAGAAACTCACCAATTGTAACCCTTGCTTGCCTGACGATTTTACTATAGGGAGCTCCTAGAGCTTCCACACCCAACATCAAGGTCATAAAGAGAAACCCCTTGCTCTTTGTCACTCCTGGGCCTAAAGGCCATGCATGGCACTCGATGTCGCATCAAGAATGACACTTCTATAGAAAATACGAAATCCACACATGACAAACAACATGCAATTTTGACAAATGCCAATCAGTAACATCATACAAAAAATATGATTAAACAATAATATGTCCTCAATTTACATTCCCACATCCATTAATCCTTACTAATTCAATTTCTTTTATCCCTAGACACCCTTACATTCATAATTCTATGCAATTAGGTAGAATTTCTATGACTACTTATTGATTACTTTCACATAAAGTAGAAGAGAATCATATGAAACACAAACACAAGTTACAATCACAGTTTGGGGGTTTCCCTTCATACAACATACATGAAAAAACAAGATTAGGAATCCACCTCTCTACCCCACACATATCCCACATATCAAAGTGAGATTACTTACTCCTTTTTACATCAATGAATACTAGATGTTGGTTGCAGATCTCCAAGATGGTGTGAGGCCCCGTAAAACTCTCTCTCTTTTCTCAACTTTCGTTCATTCTCACTCACTCTCTTATTCTTCTTCTTCTTGTTGTCCCAAGGTGGTGCCACCGAGTAAGAGATTCAGAGCTTTTCTTCTCCTCCGTGGTTGCTCAAGCTTGTTTTTCGCTGTTCGTTCAAGCTCTTTTCTTCTTCTTCATTGTCTTCATCTTCCCGGAAGCTCGGATTCTTGCACCGAGGTAAGGGAAGCTAGATTTTTCGTTGTTTTTGGATGAGAATGAGTTCTAGAAGCTCATTAGTTGTTGGTGTTGGCTGATTTTAGCTGAGTTTTGGTGAAAAATGGATTTTTTGGGGTTTTGGGGGTTTTTGATGAAAAGATTGGGACTTTCACTTAATTTATGGTTGCATGTGTAAAAAGGTGGTGTTTTTGAGCTGTTGGTTGAAAATATGGCATCTTGAATGGATTGCATGTGTTGAAAATATGGATTTTTGCAGGGTTTGAAGAGATTTTCGAAAGTTTGAGGGTTACTGCTGGGTGTCACACCCGAGCGCAGTTCTTCGCGCCGGGCGCGTGACCATCAGAGACTCCATTTGGGCAAGCACGCCGAGCGCAATGGTGAATGCGCCGGGCGAGCTTGAGGATGTGAGTCTCTGGATGGCCCACGCCGGGCGTGGTGAGACAGTGTTGGGCGCGATATCAGTAGGTAACTTGTGCTTGGTGATTCTGGTGTGACGTCGGGCGTGACTTGGTCTCGCCGGGCGTAGAGACTCCTTGGGAGTCTCTGCCAGAGGTGGCGCCGGGCGCAATTTATGTTGCGCCGGGCGTGAGACTTTGGGAAGGTCTCTACTTACCTTGCGCCAAGCGCGGGTTTGCACGCCGGGCTTATGAGACCTTGTGAGGTCTTTGCCTCCTATCACGCCGGGCGCAATAGGAATTGCGCTGGGCGTGATGATCCCTGGTGCTCTCTGGTTGTGCCACGCCGAGCGCGACCATGAGCACACTGGGCGCGATGAGATGATGACTTATGTGCTGAATTGAGCTGAAATTGATGAATATGTCGTGCTATTAGATGTTATTGCTGAATAGGGATGTTTAAGTTGTGCTGTGAGCTGTGTTTAGATGTTTAAGCTGAGCTGTGATGTATGCTAATTTAAGTTGTATTTGATGATATTGATGTGTTGTGCTGAACTATAAGCTGTTATAGCCGCTATGTCGGTGCTGTTATTAGCCACTATTGTGGTGCTGTTATAGCTGCTATGTCGGTGCTGTTATTAGCCACTATTGTGGTGTTGTTATAGCCACTATGTTAGTGCTGTTATTATCCACTATTGTGGTACTATTATAGCCGCTATGTTGGTGCTGTTATTAGTCACTATTGTGGTGTTGTTATAGCCGCTATGTCAGTGCTGTTATTGATGAATGATGTGTTATATTAAGCTGATGTTGTTGAGCTGGCTGATATACTAATAGTTGTAGTTGTTTATCATTCATATTTCACATATGTATGTTGATTCTTTTTACTAGGTTACCCTTTGTTGTTTCCATGTGGTTTGGACTGCGATGATCATACTATGTATGGGAGCAGGGCAGGGTTAGGTTGGTGTCAGCTGAGGAGGGTCTGCAGCTGGCAGATGGAGTTTATTCTTTTGATGTATTTAGCTACTTAGTTAGCACTTGCTGGATGTATTTTTGTACACTCTGATTCTAGACGGATTTGGACCTTGTATATATATATATTCTAGATCCTATATATATATACTTGTTCGTTTCTGTGTAGTATTCTGGTATGTTATGCTGTGTGTATTGACCAGACGGGTCGTTACAGATGGTCTCCAAACACCTTCAAATCTCCAAACTCTTTTGATGCATGTAAATGAAAGAATGAGAAGCGTAAGACAAAATTGATGTAACTTCTTTTTATATATAAAAACTCTACCTTCAATTTAACCATTTAATAAAAATATTTAATCTTAGTCACTCTTCCTTTCCTTATAATTAAATAATAACTTATAATTAAATATTTTAAAAATATTTCTATTTATTCATTAACACTCATAATTATAGAATAACCTAATTAATTATTCAAAACTCTGATTAATTTATTAAAAAAACTACGGGGTGTTAGCAGACCTTAAAACAAGAAAAAGTAAATTGATATATATATATATATATG